AATTCCATATAAAGTTAATGATCTTCTGTTACAAAATATTGACGACCATCATACATTAATTGTATGACTGAGGTTAGATATCCCTATAATTGCATCTGCCAGTAGCAAGCAACACAAACAGGAAGGACAATTCCAAATTTTCAAGCCACCCAACTTTAGATGGTTTTTATGGTGTACTATAAGATTATAAAAAATTACCGACCCATCACCTATTGGTACTATTTATGAGGTATTAGTATCCGAGTAACTATCGACCAGTTATTATGAGATAATAAACACTAAATTATTGTTCACTGAGCTAGAAATACCATAACTTACAGTCTCTGATGAAATATGGTAGAAGTACCATTACTTACGATCTCTAAAGAAAAAGTATGATTCTATGGTATTTCACCAAACTGGGTTAAAGTATGGGAGTTGCTGATAATAAATTTCAGGCTCCTTACCAATGATAGGATCTAACCAAGGATCTCAAGGTTACCCAGATTATGCTAGGATCTCAAGGTTACCCAGTCTATGCTAGGATCTAACCAAGTATCTCAAGGTTATCCATATTATGCTAGGATCGAACCAAGGATCACAAGATCACCCAGATTATGCAAGAATCTCAAGGTTACCCTGACTATGCTAGGATCGAACCATGGATCTTAACATTATCCAAACTATGCTAGGATCTCAAGGTTAACCAGACTATTCTAGGATTGAACAAAGGATCTCAAGGTTACCACGACTTCCTATTTAATGTCATATTGGTGCTACGAAAATTGTCAAATTATTTCATAATTGATCAATTCTGAGTGAATCAATTCTTTTTCTCAAATGTCGTGTGAACTGACCGAAATTTGGAAATCGGCTGTAAATGTCAATCCTATGGACGAACAGTGTGATATAAATTACCAACATAAAATATTTAAACTTCTATCAGTCCACGGTGCGAGTACTTTTGATTTTCTCAATCACTCGTCGTTGCTCGTTCAGCCTGGCCTGAAGTTCGATTCCACTTGTCAGTGAAACAGGACTGATGGACTAGCTTGGGCAAAGTTTGAGAAAAGTTATAAATAAAATCCCTCGAAACTGGCGTGGCAATTGTCCTGCCATTGCACAATATCGTTGTAACACAGCCCATAAGATCTAAATAAAACATAAGTTAAGAGGGCACACCGAAAAATACCCCCCATAAATACCTGTCCCGAAATGACTCAACCGTCGATCAAAATATGATTTAGTGATGTACAGTGGAAATTGTACCGGATGTTCATTCCATTACAGCGTATTGACTTTCTGCAACCCCCACATGTAATCAAATCTGATTTAAACCATGTCCCAGTCGAATGCCAATAAATAAAATATTAACCTGAATGAAAATCCGATTACGCTCGGTAATTAGACATTGAACTGCCATAAAATCCCATTAGAATCGTTCAGCTCATTCAAAATCCATGGAGGAAATCGACTTTAATTAGATCGTGATTTATCTCTCTATAGATTTAAGGATCTTTTATTGATGTACAGTCGGTGAAAGCAAATAAGTTATCGGATTTGCTATAACCATATCCCTGAAAGAATGAAGGTGAGGGTCACGGTAAGTTCAGGATTGGTCTATTGTTGAGTAACCGCTCATTCTCCTTCGAAAATTGTCGTCAAACTGCGATGCTGCTTTAATTGAAACCTGAAGTAGAGAGAATATAAAGTATATATGAGGAAGACAGAAGGGAATGAAGTCGGGGCAGTAGGAAATATGAGGCAGGGAAAATTTGTCGTGAGAGCACGGGACAGTAGAGAACTTAAGGGCAGGAAATCGATAGGTAGGACGTAGACAGGAATTAAGTTGGGGTACTAGGAAAGAAGAAGGTGAGAGGAATGAAAAGAAGGCGAATTAAAAGGAAATGTTGGAAGAAGAGAGTATAGTGAATGGTTGAAACAGGGAGTAGACGATATTTATGGGAAGAGGATACAGAGTGGGGAGGGAAATAAAGAGTGGAATGAAGTGGGGAAGGTGATATTAGAAGTAAAGGATAGGAGAAGAAGAAACTAGAAAAGGATGATTAGGGGGCCGTTCTCTTATAATGAAAGGTACTCATTGTACCTCCGTGCATTGCTTCGAATTACAGTACTCCGAAGACTTATTTGAGACGCAGTCATCCACGAATTCAACCACTTGAATGTTTACGCATATTAAACTAAAATTTAATTTATAAAAAAATCATAAGTAGCCTCAGTGGTCAAATAAAATTGCAAAGAATTCCCTCCCTTGAATTAAACTGTATAAAATACATTACTATTTAAATTGAGAATTGTGTTTGACATTTCATAAAAGAAAGTCTGTAGCAATTCAAAATCTTGTGATATAAGATACAATGGATCCAGCAAAAAGTAAACAGCAAGCCTGGGTGGCCAAATATTTAGCTGGATCGATTGAAATCATGAGGAAAGATTACTTATTCAAGGTAAACTTACAACCTGTCATATTTCACGACTACCTCCTAAAATTCGGATGCCGACGACTGAACTAACGCACTTAACCTTTATTTTATTAGGATAGGCCAATACGGCCTTGCAACTTAACTACATGATATCTGCCATTACTGTGGGATGGAAGCTCTCTGATTATATCGTACAATCTCCTTAAGAATTAATTGCATCACATACTGAAGTATACTAATGTAATTAAAAAATTCACCATTTAGTAATAATGTTCAGAGTAACTAGTTAGATTTTACTCTAACAATTAGAGTAATACTTAAACCGTAGGTAGTAATGTATTTAACTTGTGATGTGTGATGTATGTGAACGAAGTTTTATACCGAATCTTATCTCCAATAAAAACACGTGTACACCACGATATAACCCTTGTTCCTTTATGGTATATACACGCTGTTTGACAAACATTCACACAGAAAAAAATCCAATTTTAAGAAATATTAAATATAATATATAAGAAAGCTTATATTATGATATGATATAACTCAACCCTTCAATAACAAAGCACATAACGTTTCAACACAATTCTCATGTGTCGTGTTGTGTTTTTGTTATATGTGCTCTCCGCTTCTAAATGTCACTCAAATCTGACAAAGCTAAATTCAAAATTGAGTTTAGTGATTGGCCTATCAGAAAACTTATAGTTAAGATTTTCAAATATTGGCTTCGAACGCTGAAGAGGAGATCCTCTTTCCGTGACCAATTTCTAAATTTACAGTAATTTGAATTCGTCTTGAAATCCTAAAAATAACAATATATACAATTACACAAATTGTAGTTCTCGAATACCATCCAATTACGTAAATGTGTTTACAGAAAAAAACATTTATTGACCAAGGATTTCGTTTCTACCATTATTAAGACAAATAAGAATCGACCTTAGAAAACCACATTACAAAATAAACACAATTACCTATAATTGCATATTGTTTTGCATGAAATCAAATTGATGCACGAATTACTGCAAGGTTTTCAATATGGTGTAAATGAATTATTTTTAAATACACACTTGTTATTGTTTTTAGAATTACATTAGAACGCAACTATGACCATTCTGACCTGGCATTATTGCATTGAAAGAAGTGATCTAAATTGCTTAATCGCGTTTTTTTTAATATGCATGGAATAGAAGGTGTATTCTGACCGTTTCATTCCTTTTTGGGGGATCGGGAAACTGAAGCCGATCAGACTAATGCTGTCATCACAGAAAAAATTTTCAGCATTGCACACTTTAAGTGCAAACCGATACGGGACAGAAGACGTACAATTTAATTTTGATAATAATGAAACGTTTAAAACTATGTATTAATAGATGAAATAACCAAAGACAGTGCAAATCATTAAAACAAGCTCCTTTATGGAAGATCGTCGCATTGCAACAAATCTGTTCCCTACAGTAAATTGCCGATCCTATATGCATAATGAAAACAACTTTAACCCGGCTGCATTATTGTCCTCTCATTTCGATTGAAAATAAAGATTTATTAACTTGATTATCCTTGATACAATCCAACCAAACGATCTGACTGATACTGTATCTTCATATCTACCATATCTATTGAAATTTGCCACCTAAAAAAATGCAGATCCTCTGCAATAACAATATTGAAATCAATATCTGCATAACTGTCCCCTTTTTTCATTTGCTTGATATTTGGAGTAAATAATATTCATATTACAAAGAATAATAAATAAAATAAAAATAAAATAAAATAATAAAAGTTAACTTGATTATCGTTTACGATCTTACCAAACGATCCGATACTGTATATTCATATCTGTTTTCAAATTTGCCACAAAAAATAAATTCCAGATTCTATGCATACTTAATCAGCACATCTGAATAATTGTTCCCTTTTGTGATTGGATTGATATTGGTAGTAAATATAAAGAATAATAAATGTAGTTTAACTTGATTATCGTTTACGATCTTACCAAACGATCCGATACTGTATCTTCATATCTCCCATATTGCTTTTCATTTGCAATAAAATCTCATTTACAAACGTATTAAAAATCCCTTTGAACGAAAAACCAGATTTCTCGAGATAAATCCAACTATTTTCAATATTGAATCTGAATATAAAATACATATCTTGACTCAATATCTTAAATCGTTTTCTTAAATCTACAATATGGGTAATTATTAAATTTCCAAAGTTATACTTAAAGGGATTGTAAAGAAGTTTTCTAAAAAAATTATGTGTTAGCACCAATTTACACCATTCTAGTATTCAATCAGGCGTCTGTGAATCCTCCAATTACACTAAAATGAAGAGGTTGGGGTCATCAACCATTTATTATTTTTTGAATTGCAGGAACCAAAGACGTTTGACTGAAATTTAAAATGAGTGTCCAAAGATCTTGCAGAGAAATTCACCTAATGCATTCTCTTTACTTATGCGCCACCAAATTAAGAAATTATATATGATATATTAATTTCAAAGGACTATAAAAAATTGTCTTACTTTATATTTTGCAGAATAACTCATGGTGAAGAAAATTTTAAAAGAGAGCAAGTTAGTAGATTACTAGATAAATTACTTGAAAATTACAGCAAACATGTTACGCCTGGTTATGGAGGTAAATCTTTGATTTGTTCTGTTTGATTGTGAAACATCGTCATGAAAGAAAGTTAAGAAAATATCTTTAAATGAATGAATTTACGAGGGCAGGTTCCTAAGTAAACACCTGATCATTTAAACTAACTATTGCTGTTCCAAATTACATCGGTGATGTGTTTGATTTCGACTGAAACAAGTTTTAGCTCCGACATCGAGATTTGGACAGCTTGACCTTAGCTCAGCACAGTGATCTACAGTGTTCCATGACGGAAAGCATATTTATATTTACCAAACCTACAGTTGGTTGGACAAGAGTTCAATGAATAGTTTATTGTTATTGCCCTTCACATATTTAACAGACATGTTATAGTTGTGTATGCGGCTTCCCTTTCGCACAGCTAATGGCTAAAAAAATGGTGATTCATTCTAGGTGAACCAGTACGTATATCTACAGATTTTGCTATCAGAAGTATGGGACCGATCACTGAGAGTGAAATGGTAGGTTTACCTTTCCTATGTAGGAAATGTTCAGGAATCATTATTATTGCCGTTCTGTTTTTCGCAATTCCACATTTGACGCAAGTTTATGTGTGCATCGGGACACTTAAAACTTCTGTTTGCATAAATCTAATTTCCCGATATCTGATGTCCAGGATTAACAGACTTAAAATCTGACATAAACAGATTAGTAGATGAAATTTACACACAAACTAGTGTCAAATCTGAGCTTTACAAAGCTTCAACCCGCGATTTATTATTTCTTTTACTTTAAAAGTCCTCGGCGATTTTGCAAGTCGTTATGAAATCGTGATGTTTTTTCTTTCTGGAGCATAAAACCAAAGTGTTCAGAATTAGCTTTAAAGCACATTGGGTGATTCGCAAGGAAGTGCTGAGTCCGAAAAAAAGGTTTTATTGACCCAAAATATCGTACCAAAAATGGATTTTGACCACCTCATCTTTGAAGCTTCATCAACAGACTAAGAATCGGAAGGGTGTCAATTTAGGATCACAAATGCGACTGACGTGTGGACACATGTAAAAGTTAGAAAACTGCTTATGTTTGTCTTCAAGCGCAAACGCAGAATATGGAAATGACAGAAACCGACACTCGTGATTAAACTCGCTTTTGGCATCCTTACACATTGATACTGCTCTAGGATGGATACTAATAAATATTGGTCTGGTTATGATAGGAGGTTCGATTATAGTATCATAATGGAAGGTTTTGTGACTGTTTTCCCTCAATTCCCGTATGACTTATCTTTTGTGTACTCTCTTTTAAAGCTATTTGCCTGGTTACGCTGGACAAAGGTTTTAATCTTGCTCGGCGTATGAAAACCTGGTGGCCTTGAATCGTCAATTTTCTCATTGCCAAGACCGACAAAGTAAATTCGAAATTAGGACCTTGATAAGAATTATTATCAAATACTCATAATTAGCTACGGGGCTCTCTATAAGGGATGAGATTTGGAAGAACCCTGTAGCAGAGTTACATCAGGTGTTCCGGAAAACTCAAAAGATATCCTGCTAGGTAAAATACTTTAAAAGAGGAAGTGCAACAATGATAATAGAAAAATTGAATGATTTGAATATCATCCATCAAAAGGACATGTATAAATAGCGGATGGGAGCAATACGACACTGTGAGAGGTTAACCTTTGAGCTGCAATCTCGGTACACTATAAATCATTGTTGACAGGAATTCTATAAGATTGTAATACCGAGCATTATAGACATAATTACAGTCATATTTCACACTGTTTAAATTACTGTGTAAATCGATGTGTTTCATCATTCTTAGTATAAAATAATGTTATTAGGACGTAATGCAGACCTGATGTTCTAAATTGACCAAACAAACACAGTAACTGACTGACATCGTATTGACTAGGACAGGGGTGTTCAACTTTGGGGTAATTCTGTAAACATATGGTAACTCTCGTCTTGGTTCCGCTAATGGTGTGGTAGAATAGAATTTGGTGACTACAGGCTGGGTAAGACGTTTCCAATAGGAGTGATGGGCCCAAAACATGGCTGCTGAAATAATATCTTCTCTGAAGCCATACACCAATTCTAGCATAAATTTGGACGCTTATAATTTATGTCGTTCTATTAAGTCTGCAGGGATATCCTAAAATTACGAAATAGTAAGGATTTATAGGGGACGGGGGTAATGCAATCGATCAAGGATCCTGAAAGGGGTAGAATGAAAATGGTTAACAGCCGCTGGACTTGGGAGTGAAATATGGGTTACGTGCATAATAGAAGAGAAAACCCTGTGTTTAAAAAAAAAAAAACGTGTAGCGGCATGGGGGATCTCCTTAAAAAAAAAGCGTTCGTACACACCATGACCAAAAACAGTCAACAACAAATAACTGATCCTGTAAACGACACGATTCTTGAACTTGGACGTTATTTGCTTGAAGGTCTCACAAATAATATTGTAGCCTTATGGTTGGTATAAATAAGCGATAAAAGCTTTAACTATCAACGAAGCCCAATAGTTAAAAGATATGATTTATTGATGCTTGTTCGAACTAATTAAGTAAGATTCCCTTAACATGAATATTACAAGGGGATGGGATTTGTAATGCGGCTATTTATTCAGATGTTTTAAATAATTGATGATATCCTTCGAATGGTCACACAAGGTCCAATAATTTACTTGGAGAAACCAATCTGAATCTGATTTAAGTCGGATCCATGGAAACCAGATTAAAAAAAATCTGAACTCCATGGAAATTGGACCTTATCTTTAAAATCTTATAAGATTTTTTTTATACGAAAATCTTTGACGAACGACGAAACCCTAAATCAAATGATCACACAAGGTCCAACATTTCATGCTTTAAAGGGAATTTGTTATGATGTAAAGTGGGATAAGATGAAAGCAGATTAAAAATCAATATCAAGTGCCATCGAACCTCGGACTTTATCTTATAAATATTGCCAGGTTTTTGGACAACGAATATAATCCTTCACATCACATGATTAGCCAGGCAAAATGAAGGTAGATATAGCGAAAAAAGGCTTATGACGGTCTCATCTTTATAAGTAAATTAATAAAACATATGATTAAGAAAGTGGACGTAATACCACTTCCGTTAGTATGGTGTTATGCCCTAAAACGTGAAATAATTAGAAGTGCCAGAGATACAAAAGATGGTATTACAGGATTAATAGGTGATATTGATACTGCTATCGCAAGTCATTACTGTGTAATAACTGTATATAACTGTTCATTATTCTGAGGAAATTACCATGTCGTTCTGCCAATGTTACCTGATGCCAGTAACCTCTTCTCTGTGAATTAACAATTTAGAAAAAGAAGGCGGTAGAGCTAACTAGGTTATGTGCTCAATAGAAGGTGCAAATTGTCAAACGTGCTTCAATTTGGTTAAAAAATAAATGAGGACCTTTTAATATGAGAAATTAACGGTTCTTATGACATGGGACCCGGCGAATATTCATTTTTATCCATCATTTTAAAAGCATGCACCATTCGGATCGATGGTCGATACCAAATACATCGGACTAAATTACATTATGCATCAAATGAATGAAAAGACAGAATGGTGCAGATTGAAGTTTCGAGTATCCAACACTGATACCCTTGTAGCCACACAACTTTTTGTTATTTCCACCAAAGAATAAAGGAAGAATATAAATAAAAAGGCAGGATTCGCCATGTAGCAGGAAATAGAGCACCAGTAGAAAAAAATACCTTGACAAGAGAATTATATATTTTTTATGCCCGAAAGCCACTTAATCCAAAACGAAAAAAGCACAAATCTTAGGGGAAATCTGATTATTCCAGATTTTCTGTAGTAACTAAGTGCTTTTTGATCAAATTCCACACAGCAAATAGATTCAAGAAATATGGCTTAAAATATTTCGCGTTGGGAATTGAGATTTAGATATATAATGCAACTTGTATTACGTATTTGCTTGTACAATTATCATACATGTTACATGAAAGTGGGTATTTACCATATGTAATGAGCTTCATTTTACAAGACCTAAAAAGGATATTTTCTTGAATAAATTTTACAAAAATATCAATAACCATTATGTTTCAGGCCTACTCCATGCAGATCTATCTCAGACAACGTTGGTATGACGATCGTTTGAAATTCACCATTGACAACTTCACAGAATTTACATTGAGTAATAAGGTCCTGAAGTCCATTTGGAAGCCAGATACTTATTTCATCAATGGTAAAAACAGCAAGGCACACAATATTACTGTACCCAATGCTTTTGTAAGGATCAGACATGATGGGAGGTTGTATATGTCAAGAAGGTATGTTTTAACTGTCTTTAAAGCCGAGGCCCTGGGTTAAAAGGGAACGTGGCAAACCCATAATAGTGACCAGATTAACGCTTGCAGTTTCCGACCGTCGGGTCGACAAACAGCTCAAATTTTCGTACAAGATAGAAGAAGAGCAACTGACGGCAACGGGTTTTTCAGTCGTCATTTTTTTCTTTCACCTAATAGTGATCAGTCATTGTCTACTTATTTTCATTTCGTAAAGAATTGAACGTGGATTGATGCGCTTGCGGATTCCGATCGTTCAGGTTGCCGACCAGATTAAATTTATCGTACACAATTGAACACGTGCCACTGACAACAACTCGTCATCAGTTTCTTCACCCTGTAGTGATCAGTCATTGTCTAATTTTTTCCATCACATACAGAATTGAACGAGGATTAACGCTTGCAGATTCCGACCGTTCAGGTTGGCGACCAGATCAATTTTTTCGTACTAAATGGAACAAGAATAGCTGACGTCGTTAGCTTCATTGTGGTATGGCCAGTTGCTAGCAGTCATGTAAAGAAGTTTTCAAATCTACCAGTAGCAAGGCCAATTTTACTTAATATATCTAGAAAAAGTAACACATGATTGTGTCTCTGTTATCAGAGAAAAACTTAAATTTATTAGAGTTCTATTTGCATTCTAAAGTAAATTTCTTTTAAATTTTAGCAATTATTTGAGTAATGCGAAACTTTTACGGCTCTGATGTGCTTGAAAGAATTCAGTTGTTAAATCCAAGATACAAATCACCTTTCCCATCTGGGACCCTCTTAAATAGATATTCAGATGGATTTCTATTATCGTTGTAATTTTACATTAATATCTATGTATCTTCATCATTTAAATAATAAAAAACACAATACTTGTTATAATCGGTTTAATAATAATGATATCACGTCATTCCTAATAGAACTAAATAAACAACTACCAGCAACTAGATATAAAATCACAATACCCATGTGCTTTCCTTGGAAGCCTTAAACATTAATCTAGCATAAACCAATTCTGATTTATATTATGTCTACTATAAAAGCACGTCGAATCGAATTTTACCGATAAAGTTTATGGGAATTGGAATATCAGCCTCAAATTAATACCATTAGTCTTGAAATGTTTTGTGTTGATCAAAATATAAACATGAGCACACATTATCTCTTTGAAATTTGTTTTACAGAGGAAGAATTTTGGTCAAAATTCGGTACATATTTTATTGAAATTTCTGGGAGGGAAGTGTGTTTTTTTTTTTCGATGTAAACTTACAAAAATTAATCTATTATCAAGGCAAAATTATTGTAAGAATACAAGTACTTCAGTCATTTGAAGCTAACGAAATTTTAAAGATTGTGTGGTGGTACTTTACACCTTTTTGACTCCTTTATTGCTGTTTTGATATGCATATTTCAATCTAAAAATTTTGTAGCTAAGCTAATCGATATAGTATTCAAAGTTCGCCGTCGAAATTTGAGCGTTCAAATCTATGTGTGTCCAAAAGTATCTGACAGTTAGAGAAAAGATATAGATCGAAATCGTCAGATTCCTACTTTGAAGTATTTTCGTACATTTCAAGTACTTCTGAAGACTATTTACAAATATTCAAACCGAAATCAACATCACAAAATGGCGAACGTCTCCCTTTAATGGAGTTATATAGTATCCTCACTTTCACTTTATTATCAGTTGTCTGTATGAAATCTGATAAGTAGTTTGTAATAAATTCACTGAATGATATCGCATTAGTTACTATTATTATCGGAAACAAATCTACATAAATGTCGAATAGAAGCTTTAACAGATAATCTCTTATAAATGGAAAGATTAATTGATATCGCTTCTCTCTTTATCATATAAAGTAATGTAAATTTTATCTGAAAGGCCAAGGCCAGGAATAGCTAAATAGCAAAATTTCCACGAGGCACCAAGTTTATAGGCTTATTAATTGTGAAGATGTAATTTCATATTCGTATTTCACCTGATATTTTTATGATTTTGCAATTTTTGCAGCGAGATTCTGATTCATGGTGTTACCAATTATAATTGGAATGTAAGGGTAAATCGAATGAATAAAAGGTCTTGAAACGCGACATCCAAATAACGCTTGAAAGTCAGCATAATTCGAGGGTCCAATAAATTCCATGGGGTCCCACTTAGCTAGTGGATAACCAATCAAATGAACAGGAAGCTAAATACAATAAGATTGTGCGTAAACGTCGTAGAAAATATCAAAAATCTTCTCAGAATAATTTCAATTCAAATTCAGATAAGATTTGACTAGATATATGTTGTACATGTAATTATAAGGCAACCGGAAATATTTCAGACAATTTCTACCAAATCAACAAATATGATTATCTCTGGCAATTATTTTACCAAATCAACAGATATGATAATCTTTATCTAAAAGAACCTACATTATCCCCAATTCAGTTATCTTTCTATATCATTAATTTTGTAGATTGACGGTTCGAGCTCGCTGTCCATTGATGTTGTCAAGATTTCCCATGGATAAAGCGTCATGTCCACTCTATATCGCTAGTTGTAAGTAGAATTAGCATCGATAATGACGTTAAGTTTATCGTATGAGTACTCAGATTGACAATTCAGTTAATAAAACGAGAAGATAATCAGTTTTCCTTTCGACCTTGATCTAAAGGGCTATTTTCTGTGAAGTGAATAAAACGCTGACCTTTATCGCTGTTCTTAACGCCATTCTTTTGATCAAATTAGATCATATTGCCTAGAGATCTCTCGAAGACGTAGAAACTTTTTCATCCTCTACACATGCAAATGTACTTACCCTACATTGGATTCCCTATGATATAAAACATGCTGCGATGAATCTGTTTAAAGTAGAGTTCACGTGGAGCTTAAATCAAAATGCCCAGTGTGATTTGATATAACTGTCCATCATAACTACAAAATACATAGGTATACCTTTCTTAACTGCTAATGCAGCAATGCCTGATAGTTGAAATAGTACATCAGTGTACATCCCACGACAGCTCGGAGATCGCACATATCTATCATTTTTTTTTAAATATTCTTTGCAGATGGTTACACAACGTCTGATTTAATATATTACTGGAATCCCAATGCCCCAAATGTAGATATGCCGGAAGGATTAACCATGGCAACTTACGAAGTCGGTTGGGTAGATACTTTCAATGTAACTAGGATGACAACGCATGGTAAGCAATATTATACCTCTTTTATTGACTTTTAAGGTTTCTTGTCTGAACGGTTGTAGATAATATTAAATAAACCAAGTAGTAACGAACCGAACCGCAAAACTTAACAACATATTGACGAAATATTGGTAGAGCAGCTAATGAACTTTTACATTTATACAATCGGAGATTGTAAAAGGTCTAGTCTTTGGAAAGCATCATTGTGATACCGCGTGTTACGACTGTGGGACATAATAGAAATAAATGTGATCTGTCTGTGATCTGTTGTAACGCGAACCATTGCAACAGGTGACCTATCAATTGCATAAAAGCCCGATAATCCCAGTAAAACGGTCTAGTGATTATTATGTGTTATCCTCGGCCAGACAATATGAAAAAGGGGAGGGGTAATACAGTAACAATGTCCATGCCTTAAGTTTGGTTAAAGATATACAGGTGTAAGATTCCTTTTCATCCAAAAACTAGTCGCGCTACTTATGTTCTGCCTGTGAATTATAGCTTCTCGTAGAGTTCATGCTTTGTGCTCGAGATGATTCCATTTTAGTGAAAGTACAATTTTAATCTTTTCTATTTATTTCAGGTCCACAATCTGTCCTAGAAGTACAAATTCACATGCATAGAAATTTGGGATTTTTCATCCTGCAGACATTCCTTCCTTGTTACCTGATCGTCAGTTTATCGTGGATCTCTTTTTGGATCAACAGAGACGCTGCTCCTGCAAGGGTACTACTTGGTAAGTTTTCTTTCAATGACCTTGCCTAGCGTTTAAGGCACATGGTTATAAATCGTACAATGAAGTATCATCAAAAGTTAATTCTCCTTTTCAGTAATTCGGGTTCGAAGGTCCGATTTAAGACTGGTCCAGTAGTTGTTTGTAATTGACTTCATATACTTTTTGTATGTCCTTAAGGTTACAACGTGAACATTTTCAAAGAATTCGGTTTTTCAATTGAGAAATTACGTCTTACTTTATTTTGATTTTGTCTCCCAATGTATGGTTTTCTAAATAACAGACTGCGTCGACAAACCATGATTTAACCACGTTGGTTTAAATGAGGCGTCTCGGTAATTAACTTGTAAGAATCTTGGATATTTAATTTGTATGTTGAGAAGAGAACAAAACATTCCCAGACAAAAAACGTCATTGCCTGATTCTTTTTTTTAAAACTATGCTTGGTTAATTCTGTATATTCATTACTAAGTATCAATGTCACCCGATAAATACCAAAAATTCCTTTGAATCTCAGGAATAAGAAATAACAATATGTTTATTCAGTAAATACAAAAATCAAAAAAAATCTCAGGAATGTTTGCCAAAGAAACTGAAGCTTGTCAATATGCAGGTGCAAGGCTGTTGAGTTGAACCCCGGATTGTAGCAATACGTAAGGTTGGCATACGATTACAATAGTGTCCGAAAGAAACGTCGTAACTCGTAGACATGATCTTGTCTGGACTTGACTTAAAAATGCCTTTGGGAAGAATTTATTTTCCTGCGATTGACTACTGGCCTAAAAGGATTCAAATAGTAAATTGGCAGTAACTTCGGAAAAAAGTGTAGGAAAAAATCCCGTTTTATAGAAATGATATGAAAAAAAATAAAAGGATGTTCTGTTTTTCTCAACAGGAAACCTCATTATCACATCACACTGCTTGATACTAAATGAATTTGATGAGTCTATCAGAATATAATGACAAGCGAAGCTCTGTACGATCTATTTCAGTAATAGAAAAACCGCTTTCCTAGTGTTTCCCCACTCTCCCCTACGGTTTCTCCATTTACATTTACTCTCTGAACAACTCACTCTTCAGTCTTTCTTTTATTATTTCATAGAAATATTCTCGATCCGCACAAATTGATCAATTTACAAATGTGTACAGAATTTAGCACTCCTCTGGTTTCGTTTACTCATCGTGTTGTCTGAGATGAAACGAATATAAAGAGCTTTAAAGCACAAATAATTAATATGACATTGGTAGTTCTAGATTTACAGTTGTGTTTATAGCAAATACTTGCCAGGGATGCTCAATGTTTTGTCAGAAGAAAAAAGTTGAGGTGAAAAGAATATAAAGAGCTTTAGAGTGCAAACAATAAAAATATGACATTGGTAGTTCTGGTTTTAGAATTGTGTTTTTGGCAAATACTTGTATGGAATGCCATAATTATTCTTTATAAGAATGTGTTTTAAAGATTCCAATGCGTTTTTTTTGTCGAAGCAATCATATCGATATTCCCATCAAATTTTGTGGGTGACCGAGGACTTAATTCACACCTGACCATAACCCAGTTGTTCAACATGAAATGTAATTTGCATGATTGCATACTGACGTTGGTTTATCAAATGATGAGCACGTATTTATGGTTACATGTCGAAAAGAACAACTTGCCTTGGGAGCTTGAGGTTGTCAACCAATATGCATAATGTCATTAACATGTGCATGTGAGGTTCAAAATATCTTCCGGGTAAAAGTGTTGAAACATCAGCACAGTAGGCCATTCGATGTATCAAATATATAATGCTGCAAACAACGAACAATGGATTGCAAGCTTCAATTTTCTTATACACAACATTATACGACAAAACTATAATATGTAGTGTATGAAACGTATAAGAAAATAATTGGTGGCCTAAAAGACCGTAAGAATTCATCAGTTTATCTTAACAACCACTCTTGTACAAGTGATGCTAAAACCCTTCAATTTCATGTTGAGTCAATACCTTTTTCATAATTGATATAACACTGTCATTTGACAAGAAAAAAAAGGGATCGAAAAGTAGGTCACATAAAAACTATGCCTCGAGGTTTCTGATGCTCTTATTATTGTGTCATACTCATTATTTTCATCTTGTCGATATCGAGGGCAGATCAAGTTGGAAGTGTTTACACTTCCTAGTATCAATTGTTAAGAAATTGTAAAAAGCGATGCCAATCAATGTAATAAGTGATCTTCATCTTCCGTTCTGTGTAATAGAAAAATTGCTGTATGACAACAGCTCAATGTCTTAAGTATGTAGGATAGTGATTGCCTATGATTCCACATCTTCACATCAAGCTATTGCGAACTTGCTCTCTTACTTTGACTGCAATAGCCAATAAAAATCCGCACAAGCGAGACAATTTCATAAATCGAAAATCTCATCCAAAGAATGGCAAAATCGGGCTTGAGTAAAAGTTGTAGCAGTGGACTTCTCCAAAGAGAAGCACCATCAGATGTTTCGAAAGAGTAAACCCGCCACTGGTAAATAGCAGAGAGCAGCGATTTGATCGAATTGTACGCCAGCAACTGTAGCCATAAACTGTTATCATTATGGCTTTTTGTTTACAGACTTTCTGTCCAAGTTTCTGATTGGCTGTATTCGTTAACGCACAATCCAACCCAATAGCTGCATTTAGAAACTTCCGTTATACAAAAAAGGTGGTTATTGCAGTCATGGTGAAAGATGAAGATCGTTATAGCTTGACCATTGAGAAGATGATGATTCCAATGGCAATAGGTTCACATCTCTGAACCGCAGTGTGTTACGGAGTGTACACGTTTAAAATCCATCTTCTCGTTCTATGAAAGTAGAACTAAAAGGTAACTAAAAGTCCCGGATCTATCTGACAGTGGAAATGAAATGATTTACGTGCTTCTAGCAAACTGTTGCCCATTACCTTCTGTATGCTGTTTACCAAATTAGGTACAGAGAAGTACAATTTTGATATTTCTTTTGAAATACGAAGTATACATTGAAGAAATTCTATAACCAAATGAGTTAAAAAGAAACCACATTCGTAAAATTATAGCAATCAGTAGATCTCGATGTAATTACCCACACCTTACGAATGTCTGTAGAAAGTGTGACAGCGACGAAATAAAACGATTAAGTGTACTATATCGCTTTTGAAATATTTCTAACGAAGAAAAACAGTGGACACTTCAACGACACAACTTCCTTTATTGGTTGATATAAAAATTGCTTGAAGTTGGACATAGTGCACCAGGGTAACGGAAGTAGCTTTCTAAGATATTCGAGAATTATTGTTGGCTTGAAATATAGATAATTAAGAAGTTCGTGTTGAGCACAGTACTTCATTTGTCATTTAGTGACACCATTGGAAAGACGGGGTCTCTCTGAAAGCTAAAATCACTCTTCATATCAATATCATCGCACGACATAAATGATGTCATATAGACAATTGAGCAAAAAGCTTGGTATATATAATTGCTCGTGTATTACAGCTTTCCATAATTGCTACAAGCAGACTTTGCAATTATATTTCAAAAATATCTTTAAAAGCTGCTGAGAGCTCAATATGAGATCTTTTGAAATCGTGATTATTTTTATCAGTATCTTCAGGCATGTTAAGTTCACTATGTTGTGACATTAAGTACCAATTTATTTCATACTAAGACGAATGGTCGCTGGGCATTATGACATTGTATGACATCTTATTGATAATATTGCTATAATACGACACTCTGGTCGCCTTGACCTAAAGATTGTTTTCTATGTAATAGATACTGAGATACAATTAAATGCCATGTTTCGCCATTTTCGTGGGTTGAATATTATGTAAATAGACTTCAGAAGTGCTGCACGAAAATTGTATACTCCCGTCAAAATACCTTATACTAGAAATTTTATATGACTTCTTTTCTATATGGCGGAGTCGCAAGAAAATATCGTCATTTGAACTTTCCAGCGCAAATATGTCTGGATACACATGGATTTGGAGGCTCAAATTTCTACGGTGAGATGTGAACACTTTTACTGAATAGCTTAGCTAAAAAAAATCCAGTCTCTGAGACTAACGTACGATTGGTCAAACGGGTGTTGAGCCTGTCCCTTTAAAAGACAAACGTAATAATATTATTTGGATCTGCACGTTATATTTTGTTGCTATTTATTAGACTTATGACAACGACACTGCAGTACTGTGATCACATATTGACATTTTGCAGCAAATTTTTATGTGTATCGGGGACACCGATGTCATGGATATAAATCATTCCAATTTTCAATCAGACGTCTGTGGTTCCTGGATAACTTCACTAATCGCATATCACGCTTTATAACACAGGGCTCTTCGACTAAAAAAGAGTAAAAATCTTCTTTACAAACCTTAAAGCTTTTTGTTTCCCGAGCAATAAAAATAAAAATGTCGTTCTATTGCACCGACAGTAGCTTATACTGTCAATTTCCGATATATTTCAAACTTTATTTCTAAAAATTAAAGAGAAAAAATTCTATTCGTATCTGTGAAACGAGTGGGAAGTCATGGTTTCCCTTAAAGCTAAAAGTATTTTTAAGATTAATTTAAATATAATGGCACGAATTAAAAGATGTTAAGTAGACATTTTATTGCAAAAAGCTATTCATTGATAATTGATCGTGGTTTACAGCTCTTTCGTGGGTTGATATTTTCTATAATTGCTGCAAGGAGACTTGTTCAATTATACTTCAATAATATTTTAATTCTTGCTGACAGCTTAATACGATATTTCATCCCAAACCAGACTTACACAGATATAGCATGCAAAAAAAGAAGAAAGAAAATTAAAAGGTTTGACTTAACCTTCAAGTAAACTGGGGGGGTTGTCGTGGATTTTGATCTCGATCAACAATCATTAAACCAATCGATCTATCTGCTAATGGTTCAGATAATCTGGGATGGGTTACTGTCATGAATGGACTGGTCATAGGATCCAAAATATTAAAAGGTTGTCTGGTCAAATGTCTGTAATTATTAATAAATCATAACCTATATGACGCAACTATCGCAAAAGATGACGATAATATCTTTTGAATGTGAGCGATAGCTAGGTCATAAAACGCTTTGTTTTAGTGGATTTCAGAACCGTAGACGTCTTATTTAAAATTGAAATGATGTTATCAGTATCCCCCATACTCATAAAAAAAATGTTTACAATCTTTTTAACCTTAAGAGCTACACGAAGAGAAATGCGAATAAACACTTAAGATAGTGATCGAAATAACATAACAAGGACATCAAAAGTATGCATTTATATATTTACAGGTGTAACAACTATTTTAAGCACTGCTCAAATTGGTATGTCTGTTCGTGAAGGTCTTCCTAGAGTCCCTTATGCCACGGCAATAGACGTCTTCCTAAATGTATGCCTTGTGTACGACATGGCGGCTCTTATACAATATGCTGCTGTCAACTACTTTACCAAAGTGATGCCAGTTGAAGGTGGTGACGAAGAAGAAGATGAGGTTAGATATCTTTTTAAAGAAATATTTGGGAGAAGGTAGTTTCCGCCTTTTATCTTAGTCACATTAGGTTGTGGTTAAGTTTTGTCAGCTCATCGAGATGGAGATGCTAATTTTGGTGCAAGATAGGGTATACCCACCCATCAGCTGATACCAGCTTTTAATGTTTTGAGGTATCTTTATTTAGGCCAGGTTCTGATTTTATGCTTCACACAAATTTGAATCATTTAACAATGTAAGGCACTACTGGTGTTTATCAAGCGACAATCGTTGTATTGAAGTACAAGCAATACTTAGCATCCATTCGTAAACAACTATCAATTTTTTTTCTTCAGATCCCTGCATTTCCACCACCGAGGAAGATAATAATATCAGAGCAAGAACACGAGAGAGAGCGTGAAACTCTTCTGTTGAACAATGCTCATGTCGATCTAGAACATCAGGGGTACAGGAAGATTGGATGTTACCAGATGTTGTGGAGATGCCTTTCTGGAAATTCGGATTTCCGCTTACATCGAGTGAATAGTGTAAAACCTGGAGCGACCAATTCTGTTAGTGACATAGACCTTATGGCCAGAATATTATTTCCCTCAACCTTCATACTATTCAATGTGTGCTATTGGGTTCTTTATCTTCACATTCCACAGAGTTGAAGATACTGCTGACGCTATTTATGTCCAGAGTTTTAGTCTTTTACGATGTCGCTTCAAGAGGAGGTGGCTGATAACAGTAGAAACTTTGTGGAGAGACCATAAACATACCAAAACAGTGACTATTGCCATCAAAATGCTTTGGACTTTTGATATAAATGATGATACACCTGATGCTACTCCTTTGCTTGTTCCAATTGAAGTTCTGGAAGTCGCTCTGGAGTGAGTTGTCTTCGTTGAAAACCAATAAAGTTAGAGGACTTCTACCTAAGTGGACAAGTATTCTACTTTTGTACGCTTTTCATTTCAGTTTGCTGTATTAAGTTGATTTGTTTCGTCTTTGTATAGATGAGTTTTATGAACTACTGGCATACACACAATTGGTCTGTTTCAGTCCTTGGAATCTTAACGACACATTATCCAATTAGTAAAGTAATGACGAGTGAGTGTTTTTGGAACGAATGAAATATGACTTTTGACATCACTGAATACACCGATTTGAAACGTTTCGGTCTATCTTTACTGGTATAACTTCCTAGTGAAACTTCTATTCAAATGACCATTTTTACACGAGGTCTACTATCTGGTTGCGTTGGATTGAAAGAATCGCATAGCTGCTTTGTCCCACTAACACGATTCTTGCTACAGTTCAATCGATTAGTGCTTACACTTGTAATCTGAGATATGGAAGAATCATATGCATGTATCATCCAAGTACACCAAATCAACCAGAAAGTATCGATAGATATGAGATAAATTAACAAAAACCATATAACCACTACTGATTTGTATAATTGTCAGGTATTAATCATTTCTTTTTCTGTCAATATTGCTTCTTGGTTAATATTGCTTTTTGTTATTTACCATTGTGTTTTTGTTAATCTTTGTTATATTGTTGTTTGAACTTGTGATATCAATATTTTGTATTTGCACCATTCCAATAAAACTTATAACAAATTATGCAGCTTCTACTAAACTGAAGTCGCGTATCATATTCTTACTTATAAAAGCTTAACTAGGAAGCTTTTCAAACGTTTGACTAACTGTGATGCTTGATAATTGCTTTGCTAATCATGAAGATTGCAAATTGCTTACTCTGGTTTTAATAAGATTGCACTTGTTTGACAAAGAACTTGACAATTATTTTCTTATAAAAAGGAAACTGTATGCCAGCACTGGGCCACGAATGTTATGCAGTAAATGGAAAAGACAAATTATTATTGACGTAAATCTGCTTCCATGTAAACAGCAATTTAAAAAAGACTGAGCCTTGATTTAACCCGAAAATTGCACCCATTTGTTTGCGTTTATTCTCAGTTTTGTAATGATTTAATAAAAACTGAAAGAGCTCGATATATGTGTACTGGTCCCAACTGTGACATGAATTGCCTTTTTCCGTATTTCAATCGAGTTTCACAGTGAGCAATAATTATCTTAAAGGTTAATAAACATGTTTTATGTAGCCCATTCAATATCACACAATTTCTCCCTTAGAACTGCTCTGCGATCAAAGTAGTTTTTGAACGATTTCTATGTGAAAGGAAATGAAGGCTACATTGTGGCCAGGTTTTTATCGTTCTATATCATCTAGTTTATCAAAAACTGCTATCATGCGATAATTAGAAATGACACCTCATGTGGAAGGCAATATTTTTTAATCAGTTAACTTATGGATTGGATTAACTTAGCTTTCAATAGGAAATTACTCGAAGCTGTTTAACTTACATCCGCTTAGAAAAAAGTCATCACAAAGACCATAGGTGACTGGAGAGTTTTATTAGTTAGTTCCGGATCAGAACATGTGAGAATTATAAAAAACCTTAATCAAATCATCAGTTTTTCAGATTGACGGTTCAGCAGTTAATGTGGGTGTTAGAACATATGAAATAAAACTATCTCAACCCGTTTCAATGTGTTTGGAATTTATTAAGGAATATACACTAGACATGAAGTGATTCAGTCGCACAACGGCATTGATGCTGGAGGATTGAGCTTGCCATACACCCCGAAGATTCAAAAGATGGTGGAGGGTAGGGGGGGGGGGGGGTATTACACAAAATCTTTAATTTTCAATGAATTTATACTTAATTATGAAGAGTTGCCTTGTTGAAAATGCAGTGGCAGAGTGGTATCTTCTGATGGGTGTTTGTGCACTACTCCGCAACACTCCGTTACACTGTACTGATCTCGAATTTAAGAAAGTTCTTCGACTTGCATAAAGTTAATAGCCTACAGACAATGTTACCTACCAGCTACCTACCTACCTACAAAATTTCAGCATAATGATGTTTAATACAACACAAACAGTCATGTACAATCGCTGTAATTCTATTGAACAAACTCAGCTACAGTTACATCAGTTGTTGCGAAAGACGAGCATGCCTTGCCATTGTGCCAAACATTCTCTGTACCTTTGAAAAACTTTCTTATTTAAGTCCTGTTTGTCCATGGATCGGTCATTATTATAATTTGCAAATGTTCTTTGTGTAGTTTACAGAAATGAAATATTGTAACAACTAAACTTATTTTCAATTCAAAGTGAAAAGTAAAAGGTTTTTCAATGAAGCTATTTGGAGTCTGTGAGATTATATTTCATATTAATGATGTACGACCATATTGAAAATACACCAATAATTCAATTTTTAAATACATAGCCTTCTGTAATATACAATGTAACAACAGTGTATACATGGAAATAACCAACAGTTCTAAATAACGTAAACTGCTTTATTCACCGCCTTCTCCAATTTAAAACATCTTCAATGATATGTGAAAAGATTTGAAACCACTTTCGAGTAATTCCGGGACAATATTCTTCCTCTTTTAGAAATCTTTTTATGTCAGTTTCTTTACGTTTTTATCTTGATTTTATGGCAACTGATTTCTGCTTCGTTTCATTCAATGCATTTCAATTAAGCTTTTACCGTCCAAAATGTCATTCAGGGTGAATTCTAAGGTCTGTCTGAAATCGTATTTTTAATCTTTACGGCGATTCTTTTTAAATTACAAGACACGGGATTTAAATAGTTTTTCCGATGCAGAGCAATGTATTGCTTCTAATTCCGAGGTATTTACAGATTTAGAAATAAAATGTATACAGAATTAAATAAGTTAATGGAAACTGTGTCGCAAATCAGAAACGCAAATTCACTAGTTTATATTAAGTTACGGGTTTTCTTCTTACTAGTGATGAAGGTAGGAGGGACTGACATAGAGAGATTTGGTTGCGACATATTAAGAGAGAGATCAGCAGTTTAAACTCGAAAAGCATTAAGCTAATACCGTCTGTCCTGACCACAAATGTCCCTCATTGCACGCATGCTACTAAGCGTTTGACCGTCCTCACAAGCCCGGGGGGTATAACACTAAGACGTAAAATTACGTCTGTTTTGAAAACCTTCATAAACAACCGTTTCAATCCAGTTCCACTAGACAGTAAGGTAGTGTCGTAATTACTTTCGGGTTTTAAATCTGAAAGGGAATACGGATAGCTGAAATTGAACTCTTATCTTCTGTTGATACCAATATTATAATAGACGACTATATAACCCGTTTAACGCAATAAATTTTTATATTAAAAAAAATCTAGGATGTAATAATAAATTAAACCAATATATGCCATGTTATCGGCATCCGACATTTACTCGAGCAAAACACATCTGACTATAGAAAGTGTCTGAACCCAAGGCATCCAAACAGTCTTAATGTTATCTTTTCAAACATCGGCAGACCAATATTCAATAACTAGCATTGTGCTACAGGCTATAGGAATTGACACTAAAAGGATTTTCAACACATAAATCTTGCGAGTCTTCAACTATTTTCAACCATGGAAAAAGAATTCTTGTTTCGCTTTCAAAATACCATTTTGTTGACTTCAATCAAATTGATGTTTGAGGTTGATGTATACTTCAATTTTGAGAGAGGTTTAGTTCTATAGCAATTTAAAATGCAATCCAGTTTTACGTTCCATCTTATGACAATGTTCAACATGAGTCAATTTAATTTTCAACGCTTAAATTAGTTAGTATCAAAGTAATATGCCGATACCCTTTGCAAATAAATCAGCAATCCCGTTTTTACCAAGATATATCCTTTTCTAGAACCTATTTAATAATCTGGAGACAAAGTTTAAAATTTATACACAGATATTTCAATGAGGGGCATGGCACTGATGTATAAATATGTGCTATCTGTTAACTGGATAGCTGGAGGTGGACGTTACCTTGTCATCTACCATAAAATTCATTTAAATTAACTCTAAGCATGGCTTCCTTTTTATGAATTGGGATTAATATTTCCAGACTGGGTTTGTTCAGCCAGCTATCCTTGCAGTTTTAGGTAATTAGGTTTATGTGGTAAAAAAATTTATTGTAACAAATGACGGCGTCATATAAAATGCCTTAGGGTACAAATAGTTATTATCATCATTATTATTTTCTTTTAGGTTTTAGTATTGAGACACAATTGAAAAACCTTGTGGAAGACCAGATACTCAAGGAAGATTTCGTTGAAATTCGAGCCAATGAAACTTTACTTCCTACTCTCGAACATATATCGGATAGCAAGACGTATTTAATCCTATTAAATTATTATATGGACAGCGATTTCATATGTCTAATTATTTTCTTATAAAGAAATATTACGCCATAATTTTGCCCTCAGAAAGGTTGCAGACATCCCACTGTATGCTTGATTTATTCCAGTGAATGGACTGAGATGAAAATTCGCTTCACTTCTTTTTTGACATTTAGAATACACGTAATTATAAAGTGACTTGGTGTATAATGCCTCATGTTCAGCCATGAAAGTTGGTTTCAATACTGAAGTAGGACGCAGGGCAGATTAAACAATGATAGGTTCGTCTATTTCGAAATCCTTTGAAATGTAACATCGTTTCCAACGGTAATTGTGGAAATCATCTTAAACATCAAAATAAACGATAAGTGTTGTACCCAAGCACTATATTGCTACAATTGAAGACTAGAAGTATGAATATATTTTTATATTGTCCTCCAACGATATAATAGCCATTACTTAAGTTAAGGATGTCGTATTTTCATTCTGAATATGCGTAACAAAGCTTGAATTGAAGAACCCGGTGATTATATAATTTGAATAGCCAGGCGGGTTTTTTGCCAGTTGCAGTTTGGATAGATCAGAAAGTAACAGCACCATGTGTTTTAGAAGTGTAACTGCCTTGGTTTACATTTTCAACAAAGAATAAGCTGTTATTTTGATAGCCTGGCGGTTGATTTTACCAGCTGCAGGTTGGATCCTAACGTGACAACACCATATGTTTAAGAATGTTCAGCAAACCATCCATCATTTGCCTAACCATCTACATAGTCTCACAAATGTTACAGACTTGGTTTGTATTTTCAACAAGGACTTGTTGATTTTCTTTCATTAATAGATTCATTTCGTGGATATTGAAGAGCTCCACTCCAGTCGGTTGCCATGAATCTCAAATTGGCTCTAACTGCATTAACCAGTCTGCCTATACAATAAGTTTGAAAGCTAAATCTATTTGACTTGGATTTTAATTTAGCAACTGATGCCCTCGAGTCAATTTTCGGAGAGATTATGGAGCCAAAATCAATGATAAAACACACAGTAGGTTATAGAATCACTGGTTTACCAATGACAATCAGTTTAGTTGAATATTGAACCAATTTAGGAATTGACCCTATTGGTGTTACTCAATTGCACTAAAGTTAATTTAGGTCGGATAAAATCGCTTGTAATTGTTTTGTAAACATTAACTTTGGATGGATTTCGGCTGAATGTCAAATGCGGTAGACTTTCTAAATAATATTATCAAGGTTTGTTGTTAAAGTTTCCAAAAATGGCGCATAAATTAAAAAACAAAGGAACACCAAAATGCTACCAAAACAGAATATTCGTTTAAAATCTGGTTGTTCAGAATAGTAAATAACGACATGATGGTGTAGGCCTACTAATAAAAAAAAATCCGTACAAGCAAAACAATAACGTTTACCAAAAATTACGAAAATCAATAGAGTAAGCATGGTGTAACGTTTTTTAAAAGTATATTCTAAATCATACAGATACAGGTCTTTCGGAAAAGTATATTTTTGAGCACAAACCGATCTCTTAAAAGTGTGTTAAAAATCATACATATATTACGGAGGAAGCATCTGCATTATGATTTATTCATCCCTTCTTTCCTACATCGTACGACGATCTGTCGTTACGTTGAGCTAATAAAGACGGCAAGGACGTCACATTATCCGATTTTCCATCAGAATTAGCCAAATTAATTGCTTAACAGAATTCGTTTTTTGTACAATTTTTAGTGCAGAATCGTGCGAGTTCTGTAGATTTTTATTATTCTAAGATGCGTACAAATTCTTTAATGCGGGTGTCGAGATGGCTCAATATTCGGGGTTAAAACTAAGAAACTGTCCAGATAACATCTTTTCCATCAATTCCCCTCTTCATTGACGCATTTTGGATGTTCCTGCTTAAAACATATTGTGGATTTGGTGAGAACCTAGATATGATGAGATACTTATCTTAAAGACTATAGGTTTCAGGTTGTTGGAAATCTACTAAAGGTAAGCTAATCTTACCGCTATCATGGAAAAAAATTCCCGATTGCATTAGTACTTTAAGTATAACCTTCGCAAAACCCCATTAATTGCCAAGAGATGTCAAAAAACCTACAAAATATACCGACAACGTACGATATGAAATGTTGAAATATTTGAGAGCTAAACTATCCAGTCTGTTCACCTAACTGTCGAACAGAACTTTACTACCCTTGAAGGAAATTGAAAACATTGTTTTATTTTGAAGAGATAAGCTTAAAGCACTTAGGTTTAAAATGTGGAATAGCGTCTGGTGCGATATCAACCTCTCGACTTAACATTTCAAGTCTTTATCAGCTTTACAATATCTGTTTTGAATGATGTCTGATACAGTAACGGGAAGAATTAAAGAGTCCACGGAGTGAAATCTCTATAACTGGCGATCAATAGATGTCTGTACCATCTGGTGGAGTTCAGACAAGGCCATTGAAATATACACTACTTGACAGCTCTACAAAAATCAAAATAAATGGAAAAAATTTCGTATGTTCGATTCACTGAAAGAGATACTTTTGAAACAAATGGTTCGAAACGTATCTTTAGTCGAATAAGTAGTTTAAAATTTCTCAAAATGAACGTTAATCGAAAGATTGTTTAGAACTACTGCCAGGACTTCAAACAAACCCTCAAACATTTTTTTTCAGTAAATTACGAATATTTCGTGTAATTTGAAGTCTAGTTAGCTGGTACGCTCTTTGTATTGTCGATTTTGCACAAAAGGGTTACAGAAATCACAAGCTTATACACTATGTAGAAAAAAGTCGACATATTCTAATTCATAAAAAAGCATTACTGAATTACCTAAGCTTGACCGTATATAAAATATAAAGATATTATGATAACCGCATAGAAACTTTGAATGTAATAAATATTCTCGAAGTATCATTATATTCCTGATGACGGTGTGAGATCACATTGAAACGTTGAAAGTAATAAATATTCTAGAAGTATCTATCCATAATAATTGTTTGATTTATCTATAACTTGTGCTTTTAAAATGCCATTGAAGGATTAAATATATCTTTACCTTGTTTTATTTACACATTATCAACGATATAAAGTTCTTAAGTATCTAATACGAATTTTATGCATTACTTTTACAATTTTTGACGTTCCTTTTTAAGTGCTGCAGGCTCTTGATTTTTCTATCGTAACTTGCTTGTATCCGTGTCTTCTTGTTTTGTGTTTTCATAATAATCGAAGTTTCTAATTTTGTAACCCGTAAAATTAAAAAAATGTTAACGAGGTTAAGCAAAAATACCAGTGAGCAAATAAAAACGTAGTAACAATCTAATACCGTCTGTGCAAGAAATGCTGCAGATTAGACGATAATCCTTTTTAATCCAAGGGGATTTAGCTAATAGTGTCTAAGTACAGTATATTTGTATTGCTTTACTGGGCACAAGATCAATCATGAGACTAAGCTGTCGGCGATGTCTAAAATCGCCCCTTTCTTCAGCCCTTTCAATCTGTTATCACAACATCTAGGTCTTTAACCACCAGGCTATCCTTAACAAAACATTCACACATCACAATTCAATGATACATTCATCTCATTTCGGCACCTATAGCTTCTAGTTATTTCGGTCAAAGAGCCACAAGGATTTGAAGATTATCAAATTGGGTATATAAAGATCGTGATTCTACCTACAGAAGCAAATGTGAACTTGTCATCTATCTACCCACCTACCTACCTACAGATTCATAACATAGGAAGATCAGATCTGTGAGACACATTAGCAATATCAAGTAAGCTGGAACATATATGGAAGCAATCCGATAAAAACAAAGAATCAGCAGTATCGGATATCTTTTATGAGCAAAATCGAACTAAGTTGAAACTTTTATCCAAGCTCATTCGTCAACAGCACAATTCTCAAAAATATTTTTAGAAAAGTCGAAGGCATTGTCTTTCAAAACCAAACAACCAATTTAGCAATATTGCTCTTTCGTGCTAAATAAAATTATAAATTAACAATGGATTACCTTGCTTCAGCAAATTTTCTTGGTTTGATAACGGGATCAAGGTACTTGGCAATGGAAGCAAGATACGAGCAGACCAAGATAGAGGCAGAGTTTGAGCAGATCATGGCAGAGGTAGAGCTCGAGAGGACTTTACAGGATGTTGAGTACGAGAGGATTATTATGGAAGCGGAAATGGAAGTTTTGTTGATGGAGTTGCGAATGGAGAGGATGATAGTTGAATCTGAGTTGGAAATGCTGGCCATTGAAGAAGAAATTGAAGAGGGAACTGGTCTAAGTGATGCTGATATCAGGAAAAGTTGTAGTCTTCACTCCGCCTATTTAGTGGTGAGTAGATAGACTTTTAAACTGTTTGTTTGGTGAGGCAGGCTGACTTTCACCATACGGTTAACAATAGGCTATACTTATGATAAGCAGATAACTTGATAGTGCTATTTGACAAACCGGATCTGGAAGAATCCTAAATACATGTTAGACATATTTTTCTACAATTAGGTGTTTATTTTGCTCAATTCCGCATGTAGTGTTGTAACACATCCCAAAAACATAACAGAACTTGACAAGTTTACGTAAACCGTTTAAATAGTTTTGGCGTTAAATAATTAACGGCAGAATTTTTTAGTTGAAACTGTCAGATAAGTTCTTGTGTATCGTTTTCAAAGATTTGAAGATAATTTAGACCTTTTAATGCCCCTTTAAGCTTGACACCAACTCCGAATGTTTTACCAATTTGTTATTAGATATGTCGTATCATCCTTTTCAGGTTGATATGGTTGAAGATTATCGTACTCAATGATCAAAAGTTTACATAAAAGTGTTCTATCTTACTTATTTTTCAACATCATTGGTTTCTAAGTGCTAAAGACAGTTTTGTTTAGTGTTATGTATAGGGGCAATATATAAATCAAATATTTAGATGCATGTATAGCCTAGATTACTAAAGCTTGCTGCTTATTTCAGTGCATTGTTTAATACCTGGTTTTGCTACAAACCTAATTATGCATCGTTAAATTGTACTGTGTTTAGAGTGCTTTAAAACTGCAGGGTACGGGATCGGAATTATCTCTTTTGAATCCCTGCAGCGTACACCGTGTGTCTTCCATTAGACCCTTTATACTTCGATATATACATTTGAAATATATCCTTATTGATTTTATTTCAAAAAATGCACCATAACTTTACAACATATGACCATCCCTAGCTAACCCTAAAAAAAGTCATTCAATAGCATTCCTGACAATAGAAATGGCGCAGAGACGGAGAAACCATCTATTTCCCATGCACAGCACGAATGGAGCTCTCCAATTGGCTGCTTACAACGGTACGGAAAGGATGGAAACAAAGAAAATACACACCGTAACAGTGCAAATAGACCCACTAGAACAAGACTTCCGATCTTATTATTAATGGATGGTTTTGGTGAATGATAACATTTCATTTTGTATCTGGTAGAATAATCAGAACTCAAAATGTGTTATGTATTTACTTACGTGTTTGATATAAATATTGGAAATAGCTATTTGTAGTTTATTGCGATGTTAAAGAATGAGTAAGTGCCAAAGTTTCCTACTTTAAATCATCTCAAACATTGTTTTACATTCTGTGAAGGAAAAACAAATATCAATACTAGTCAACAGGCCGTTATTTGTGATTTATCCGATATTTTATTGCAATTGTTTTAGCTTGATAAATTGTGTTAGATTAAAATGTATCTTATAACCATTCTGTGTATTTATTTTTACATTCCATCATTTGATTAACAGTATGTAAACTTGGATGGGCCCTTCTATCGGTCTTCCTTTTTAATTTCGCGGATTTAACTAGTAATTCCACTTTCAATAAACGGACATAATACTTTTTCCAAGTAATAATAGATTATATAGAGGTGTCCCCTACTCATCTAGTTTAGCGACAGTACTTTGATCAGAGTTGCTCATTAGAAATACCTATTTATGTGAATTTGGTCACTAGTGCGCATATAGAACGCATTGAATGCTACTTGCTATCCAATGATTAATTTTTATCTCAATTTCGTCAAAACCCCCCGCAGAACATTCGGAAACACAAATAGTTTACCCATAATGAGACATAATCGTAGATCTTCGCATGGATAGGTTAAGAAACAAAGAAACGCATGATAAGATGTTTGAACGCTGAACCTACATATACTATGTCGTCGGTGGTTACCGCAATATAGTCGAGGGGTAGGATAAACTTACGTACTTTGGCACAAGGGCAAAGTAGAATAACCGGCAATGTCTTGATGAACTCATTAATGGTTCAGCTTTGTATAGATACCCAACTTTAAACAAATTTTTTCTTTAATGGTGGTGAGAATTCTCAAAAACTAGCGACCCAAAGGTGGGTCGGAGCAACTGACATAAAAGGAGGCAGTTTATCGATGTCCTCAAATGTACCGATATCCCATCCATACATCACGTAGGTCTGGATTTGTCGGGCTACCGCATGGGGAGCACATACAGCTACTTTGGCACACAGTGGGTATCTAAATATTGGAGAAAAACCAAGTTACTCAGTTATTTAACCACTCATATCTGTTTATCTTTTAGTTTCCTGAAAGTCAACTGCATATATTCTATCTTGCAGCAAGTAGCAGTGAAAGACGCACTCCTTAGTTATAAATGTGAAATACTGTAAAGTCATATTGACCATATCTTTTATTAAATACGTGTACTTTGAAATAACATCATTCACATGATTGAGTGTTTAGCGCGTGACATGTGCTGCAGACGATAATGCAGATGCTTGAAACCGAGTCAATCATAAAATTCAAGCAATTTACATTGGCACCACTAGTTATGCGTTAAGCCAACCTTATTAGATCTGCAAATTTTTCCCATGCAGAAACTTATTTCAAATATGACAAAATTTGGGTAAAAATCTGAAACAAAAACAATGTCAAAAACAAAATCCTAAAGTGAACAAAACTTTAAGTCATATTAATGATGCATGATCATTTAAATTTTGCTGGTTAGGTTTATCTTTCGACACATAGTTAGCAAAATCTGCGATGTACCATTTTTATCTGGAATTTGGAAGAGTTATGTCATTAAAACTATTCAGATCATGAAATTAATTAAGAACGCTAGGTACCATCTAACATAGTTATAGACGTTATGTAGTGATTTAATCAAGTATTTGACGAGCTTTACCCTGACCTAATTTCTTCCAAATTGGGTCAAAGCTTCTCATCTGAACGTTAATTGTCCATAAAAATCCGTTAAGTTGTCACTAATGTTCTGATTGGATTGCTTGATAATGTGATATTAACCCCAGAAATTATGATTTTAACCAGAGACTTTCTCGTTATCCTCTAATTTAGTATATTTCCTCACATTATTTACTATCTGCTTTTGTCGAATGAAGATCGTAGGGGCTGACTTGGAGATAGCGTCTAGTCTTTAGTAAGGCACCATGTGCTACAGGCTGTGCACATTAAGTAAGTTAATGCTGATGTTCTGACAAAATTTCCGCTGCCGAAGACACTCGGATCCAATCATGACAGGTACTGCCAGGTGTATTTACACATCTATGCTCTTCTGTATTTAGAAGAAGGTTATTTCAGGGAAGGTTGTATGCAAGTGTTCATAAACAACCTAGAAGTCATCCCGATACACAGACAAATGGCTATATATGATGTGAACATACAAAGCCTGTTTTCTACATTTATCATAATTTTAAAAGATAATAATTGTGTAATCATTTCGCATCTATTTGATGTCTATTATCCATCTTCAAGATTCAATATACATGTATATTCAGCATTAAATTTTCCTTATAATTTCAAAGATCAAATTGGATACCAATTTTCTCCGTTGCCTTGGATGTCGTTCCATTATGGATTTTCCAAATTAGCATTATTAGTTATTCCCAAAGTGAAGACGAGTTGCCACAATTAGGTGGTCCAGAAGGCTGAAGATAAAACGATACTGAAAAACCTGCAAATCGACATATTTATTTCAACTGAATAAGGTCTAGATTCACATTAGTTTGAATTCAGTATTGAAATTATCAAGCCCTCTGATTGGAGTCTTCACGTGCTACAGATTGTACACGTTAAAGGTCCTTCGACAGTTGAAAATCAACCGAGAGTGGAGTTATATTATTTCTGCTCAGTTTTTTCATGCATTTTACCTGCCCTCCTATGACGCAGATACACAATACACAGAAAGATAGAAGAAAAAAAATGTAGTAAGGATAACAACCAAGGTTAGGATGAACTACTACAATCTGGACTTTTGTCAAACCTCTTGGCATTGTCTTTCCCAGATTAACCGACAACGCCTAGTTCCCTTCATTTTTCCTCTATGGATCGAAGCTGTGGCCTATTTCTGACAAATATCATGTAATCAAATAATGATTAACGCACAGAAATTATTCATAATAATTTGAAGTGATTTTCTTAAACGCAGCCATTCAAACTCGACGTAATTCAAATAATCATATAGCCCCAGGCCAATGCCACAAATTTGTTGTAATTGTTGAATTTGGCATTTAAAAAATGAAAATCGGATTTCCTTTGATAGCTGTCCGTCACTGTAGTGCAATTTATATAATGTAAATGATGATAAATAGATTTAATTTTTAACTGCACAAAGTATATTTTCTTTTTAACTTGAAGGCATCTATTCTCAAGCCATGTAATAGCTTTGAAGTTCATAATAACGATTGCAATATGGAGCAATTCATCCCTTTTCTCACTCTTGTCCTCTGGCGATCGCTTTTGTCTGACGGGCTACGGCTACGCTTTAATCATGCTTCCTTCTATGCAGACCATCTGTGGAATATCTAATTACAGGAGAGTCTGAAAATCAAAATGCGGTTCACCAACTCACAAAATTACAACAAACACGGTATTAAATACACCCACACACACATTACAGTGTAGGCAAGTGTTCAAATGATAGTCTACGGGTTTATATTTCCACTTTACTGTACATATCGTTTCTTCCCATTTCACCTACATACATACACGTTATGACAGCAATTCCACTGATCTGAAGAATATATTGGCAGATGAAATACATTTATATTTGTAGCATCATTTTCAATTTGCTCAAGAAAGAAATAACGCCATGTTTTTTGTAGCACATTTCTTTATTATTCATACTGCCATACTTTCGATATTACAAATTATAGCAGAGGTTACTTTCTTCCATATGCAAAGTTGTCCTGTTATATCAGTTCCAGTGTGTAGACTCAGTGACATGTTTAATCTTCCTGAGCCAGAAGGCAAACTTTAGTTTTGTTTCTTGCTAAAAACAATATAAAGGGACGTAACTACAGGTAGCTTATTAGAAGCAACACAACGATGTGGCGTTGTTAAATAAACTACTGGTACTAGAGATTCGAGGCATAAAACAAAACCGGAATTTAGAACAAAATATTGGCAAAACATTTACAGCAGATAATGGAATTTTCACATAAGGAATTCAGCATCCTTGATAGATTTTATAGGAAAGTACACAGCAGACTGAGTCTCAGTAAGGTTGGCTCGTTGGTGGCTTACAAGTAAATGTATTCCTCCTGCTAAAGCTGTTTATGAGAGATGACAAATTAACGCCCCTTTGGAGCAGAAGCTGATATCGCAGACTAGATAGTCCTTGGTGATCGTGGTAGGTGGTAGCTGGATCTGAATCAGTTGGATGGTTAAGTACTGTTGGTTTGGTAGATGAGAAATCTTCAGATCTGAACGGGTCGAATGATATGACAGTGAAATGAGGCTTCAAAATTAATATTTTATATTACAGATTAATATTATGTCGCGTTCAGTGGCGCCCCCGCCTGGCTAGTCTAGTGGATTCACTCCTAGTAGTGAATTATTTACCGAAGATGAAGACCCCTGTGCTATATGTCATGATGATTTGTCTCAACCTCAGAGTTCTAGAATGTAAACATAGCTTCTATGAGTAAAATATCCATTGTTATATCTTTGATATCTTAGAGTCAAGTGACTGTAGTAAAATATTCTCCTTTTTGATTTGGCACTTTTGCTCTGCTGTTCTAGTTCGTATTTTCATAATGTATATAACAATACGACTTTAAGAAAGTAATTTGAATAATCATGACTTTAAGAAAGTAATTTAGCTAATAGATTGGGACCATAGTAAAAACAATCAATTTTAAGAAGACAAAAAAGGACTGTAAAATCTAGAACGGCCTAACACTAGGCTAAACCAAATCGTCCACTTTAACCCCTTTGGGACCACTAGGGTATAAATTGCTTCAGGCCCAGTTAAACCCCCGTGTTATTTTTTTCCGGACCATTGGTGTGAGAAGAT